TCTGCTTATAAATTGCATTTGTAAAGATTAAAAACTCTTTATTAATCAATTTCATATTGTGAATTCCAAAGAAGTACTTCCTTGTAATGTGATTTTTTTTTTTCTACCCATGATGGGAAATTTTCTTCCCCTCTCTCTCTTTCTCTCTCTCTCAATCTCTCTCTACAAAAAAATAAAAAATAATTTAAAAAATAATAATTATTATTAATGCTTTTAGGTTTAATGAGATTTCAAAGATTGACAGGTGAAGTGGAATTTTGTCAATTCCTTTCACCCCTTATAGTTGACCCAGTTTCAACTAAAATAAGGTTAATATTCTTCCTAAATATGATATCGTGTCATATTTTGGATTTAGGATGAGAATAATGTTGATAATATGACAGATTCTTAGTTGTTGCTGAGCAGTTCTTACAAAGTCAAGCTTCTTAAAGTACCTTAGCATTGAGGAGGCTGTTGTTGTAAAAGGAGCTGTGAGGGGACAGAACAAGGACAGCTGATCCAAACTGGCCAAAAAGGCTATTCCATAAAATTTGCTGTCATGTTTAACGATAAAATGAGGGGAGTTGTCCACAGGGGCAGCTGCTGCATCAGGGACTGGCAGGACTTATGAAGGTGCATTGCAGCATCACTGTATATTTAGTATTTATCTTTTTTTTTTTTTTTTTTTTTGTGTGTGTGTGTGTGTGTGTGTGTGTGTGTGCGTGTGTGTGTGTATGTGTTATTAAGCTCACTTTATCTCATCTCACAAGTTTTATATTTTCTCTAGTTTTCTCCCTCACCTTTAAGCAAGGAGTAAGCATACAGCCGTATGGTGCTTATCTGCCTGCTGGACTAAACCACAACTGCAGTCAAAGAAATCAGACTGTTTAGAGACAAAGTATTTGAAGACGTATGTTCTGTGATGATCAGACAGAAAAGAGATTTCACCATGTATTGACACCCAAGGAAGCTCTCATTATTCTAAAAAGAATTAAGTAATATTTATTTTAAAAAAATACATAAATAAAACAGTTTGCAAACTTCTGTCCTAGAAGTATCTAATAGGCATACCATTGCTAATTAATGCCTCCTTTAGCTTGCCTTTTACAAAGCTGCAGCAACTCGAAAATTCATGTAGTAGGAAATTAAAGGTAGCAAAAGCGAAAAGAATTCTCCATTCAGCAATTATTTAGGATGTATTGATTAACTTAAATTTACTTGTTTATTTAATATATACGTATTTGGCAAAATATGCATATCCAGTACAGTGATCATTTAATACATCTCCATTTTAGTTCCTTCTTCTCATTTCAGACAAGTTCAGCAGTAATAACTTATGTGTCATTCTTCAAATTTTGTAAGATTCTTCTAGAAACAAACAAACAAACAAAAAAAAACCACAGAAAATCTCAAAACCAACTAAGTACAAAAATAAATAAGAGGGGAAAACAAACTAAAAACAAGTAAAGCGGGATTGGAAACTGTAAAAAATAATCAGTTGTCAGACTGTGTTCTTATTCATTTAGAGGTTCACAAATTTCCCAAGTATTAACATGTATCTCAGTTCCACAAAAGTTTTATCTTTCTCAGCAGAAATAGATAATCATTGGTTTTTTGTTTTACTAGCGTACATTTTTTCCTAAAGAAAAAAATGACTAAGAAATGATGGTCTCGTCTTACCTAATTTTACACCTAATTTTACACCTAGTTAAACCTATGTTTGATGGCTTTTTGTGTATAATCATTGGATACAAACAGGCACACTGAATGATGAAAAATTCACTTCAGTCAATATAAATAGAATTTAAGATAACTGTATATGACATAAAAATCTATCTATTCTAAATTAGATGAGATGGATCTCACCCTAGAAGACTGATATTTAGTTTCAGAGATTTTCCTAAAAAGGAGCTTACTCCTGAATTGAATTTGCTGAAATTCCTATGAGACTCAGAATAACACCTTAGCTGTTTTTCTGCTATTCTCAATTCATAATAATTCATAGGAACAGATTCATAATCTGTTGTTTGGATAATAAAGCTCACGGTAAATATTTAATTAAAACATAATTAAAAACAGTAAAGATAGTTGATTAGATAATACACATTACTAAGGAAATTAAGGAATGAAAAATCTTGGTCAGTTGACAAGACTAAGTTTCTAGAAAAGAGATTTTTGCTAACAAACAACTATGGTAGCAGCATTTTTAACAGATTTTATTAGCAAGCCAGAGACTCGCAGCTCAGTTTGTTTAAACTATTTTAAAACAAGATAATTCTACTAAATTTGAGTCTTGTTTGGAAGTACTTAAAAGTTGTATGGATATGGTCCTGGTTAAGCAGTGCTGGATGTCCGTGCTCGAGAAGGTGTGGTGGGACCAGATGATCTAGAGTTCTCTTCCAACCTTAACAATTCTGTTCCACCTCTACTCTGCCCTTTTGAGTCCGCATCTGGAATACTCTGTCTACTTCTGGGCACCTCAGTTCAAGGACAGGAAACTTAATGAGAGTGTCCAGCACAGAGCCATAGAGTTGATTAAGGGAGTGGAGCATCTCCCTTATGAGGAAAGGCTGAGGAAGCTGAGTCTCTTTAGCTTGGAGGAATCTGAGGGGTGACCTCATTAATGTTTATAAATATGTAAAGTGTGTGTGTGTCAGGAGGATGGAGCCAGGCTCTTCTCAGTGACATCCAATGATAGGACAAGGGGTAATGGGTGCAAGCTGGAGCATAGAAGTTTCCACATATATACGAGAAAAAAAGAACTGCTTCACAGTAAGGGTAATAGAGCATTGGAACAGGATGCCCAGAGAAATGGTATGGTCTCCTCTGGAGACATTCAAAACCCAACTGGATGCATTCCTGTATGAGGTGATCTAGATGTTCCTGCTCCGGCTAGGGGATTGGACTAGATGATCTTTTGAGGTCTCTTCCAAACCGTGACATTCTGTGATACTGTGACACATTCTGATTCTGTAATTTTACAAAATAAAGTTATATTTTTCTATTAGGAGTTAGGAAATCACTGAGCTTGAAACTCAGCATGTATGTCTAAACTAAGTAGTAAATACGTGTCTCTTTATTAGTTTGTGGAACTGACTGAACAGATGGAGCTATATGATGATTTCATCCTGAAACAAGAGACCATGGGCACAGACCATGCCCAAACAGATAAATCTTTGCATCTGAGGAAAACATTCATATATGAACAAGGAGAGGATTTCTATATGTTCTGGAAGACTGCTTAGGTGCCGTGCTGACTGGATAACCTTCCCTGAAGGCATGTCTGTGGATAAAACATACCTCATTTTCTTAAGGAAAAGTTAATTGAGTTAGATGGAACTGCCTTCCATAATGCGAAAAGAGCTGCCAGGCGCTATCGAGTTCATAGCCAACATCCCTTTTTTTCATTTATTTAATCATTTTGAATTTCTAATAAGCTATCTTGAATTGACAAAATCTGATCACAAAGCAACAGACCTGGAATCACTTTGGCTCTTAGAACTTGATTCTGCAAGTATTTCAAAGTCAGTCATTTTCCGGTAGAGACAGAGGAGAGGCTTGACTTCTTTTGAACATTTTAAAAAAGGCAGTATGCCATACTATTATGTGCATTCCACTACAGGCAGTACAAAGTCATTGGTTGTAGCAGAAGTAAAATGGGATTTTCTGCGTGTCAGATGTATTGCTTAAGTGATGGAAATGAAAATCTCCTCCTCTAGCACTTCAGCCTCTTAAGCAATGCTTTTGTTATAAGAAAAAAGTTAACTTTAGTGCTATCTCTGCTGGAATCCTTTCCTGCTGCTGTAACATTGCTTTAATTTAACATCCTTTTTATGTCAGTGGAACTGTTGAGTATATAGGGGGAAACTGATAGCATAAATTGTGTTCATCCTGTTCAAGAGATCTGTACTTTTATCTTGCTTAACCAGGCTTAGTTCAACACATCTCTTAAAAAAATCCCCTCGTCTGCACATCCGGAAGATGCTGGGGGAGATTTTTCAACATGACATGGCTAGTAATTTAAAACAGACTTTTTCTCCCTTTGTTATCAAGGTGCATGACTAGTGTTTGACCATTAAAATGTGACTGATGTAAAAGTGTCACTATTTAAAATATCTGTAACTGTGTAAATATTATTGGGACACAGTGAGTCCACTGACCTACAGTCTCAGATGAGTACTGAGTTTCAAGAGGTCAGTGCTACTTTTTCAGACACCAGTGTGATGTTTTACAAAGACAGACGTATATATATCATTTTTAAAATATAGAGACTCCAAAAGATAGATAATTATCATTTTTTAATTTTATTCTGAAGCATATTAAAGTAAAAGCTAAATTTTTAAGAAACTGAACTTGTATTTACAAATTCAAATGAGGAAGCTAATATAACTCATAGTAACTTCTTTGACAGTAGAGTATTGAAAATATGGTCCTGGATGAAGCATTTTAAGACAAAATAAGAAAAAATAAATGTATGTGGGGGGTGGGGAAATACAGAGGAATGTACTGATTTGTATCCAGGATGTAAACTTAGCATTCCCTTTTTTTGAAACATTAGATTCATTGATTATCTTTCCACATTGATTCAAGGGAAAGAGGAAAAAAAAAAAAAAAAAGGCAGTCAAGGACAATGTAAATAGTTCAGCTACAATATCTTCAACTCTATCTATGATAACTAAACAAGTGAATCAAGTGAATCTTTTATGGCAAGCACTCAGCAGAATTGTGAAAACACTTTCATTTTCAGCACTCCATTTTATCTCCAATTCCTGAGCAATCATTAACTCAACCTGTTTTCATGCCTTTCACTTTTCACTGCTTCTTCCAATCCCCTAAAAGAAGGCATGGGATTGTGAGAAAAACTGATTTAGACAAGAGAAAGTAAAGTTGTCAAAAATGAATATTCCTGATTTTCTAAATACTTGTCTTTTTTCTTTAATACATTCAGAATTTTTTTCTCTGTTTTTTTTTTCTTAAGCAAAGCCTTTGACACTGTCTCCCACAGCATTCTCCTGCAGAAGCTGGCAGCCAGAGGCTTGGATGGATACACTCTTGGCTGGGTAAGGAGTTGGTTGGAGGGCCGGGCACAGAGAGTGGTGGTAAATGGAGTCAAATCCAGCTGGCGACCAGTTGTGAGTGGTGTTCCCCAGGGGTCGGTGCTGGGGCCTGTCCTCTTCAATATCTTTATTGATGACCTCGATGAGGGCATCGAGTGCACCCTCAGTAAGTTTGCAGATGACACCAAATTGGCTGGAAGTGTGGATCTGCCTGGGGGTAGCGAGGCCCTACAGAGGGATCTGGACAGGCTGGAGAGCTGGGCTGAAGCCAATGGGATGAGTTTCAACAAGGCCAAATGCCGGGTCCTGCACTTCGGCCACAACAACCCCAGGCGACGCTACAGGCTTGGGGCGGTGTGGCTGGAGGACTGCGTAGAGGAAATGGACCTGGGGGTATTGATTGATGCTCGGCTGAACATGAGCCAACAGTGTGCCCAGGTGGCCAAGAAGGCCAATGGCATCCTGGCTTGCATCAGAAACAGTGTTGCAAGCAGGAGCAGAGAGGTGATTGTTCCCCTGTATTCAGCACTGGTGAGGCCGCACCTCGAGTACTGTGTCCAGTTTTGGGCCCCTCACTGCAAGAAAGATATTGAGGCCCTGGAACGTGTTCAAAGGAGGGCAACAAAGCTGGTGAGGGGTCTGGAACACAGGCCATATGAGGAGAGGCTGAAGGAGCTGGGAATGTTCAGCCTGGAGAAGAGGAGGCTCAGGGGAGACCTCATTGCTCTCTATAACTTCCTGAAGGGAGGTTGTAGTGAGCTGGGGGTCGGCCTCTTCTCTCGTGTCATTAGTGATAGGACCAGGGGGAATGGCTTCAAGCTACGGCAGGGGAGATTCAGGCTGGACATGAGGAAGTATTACTTTTCAGAAACGGTGGTCAGGCACTGGAATGGACTGCCCAGGGAGGTGGTGGAGTCACCAACCCTAGGGGTGTTCAAGGAAAGGCTGGATGTTGTGTTGAGGGACATGGTTTAGTAGGAGCTATTGGGAATAGGTGAACGGTTGGACTGGGTGATCTTTTAGGTCTTTTTCAACCTTGGTGATTCTATGATTCTATGATTCTATGAAAACCAATCAAAACAAAAACAAAACAAAACAAACAAACAAACAAAAAAAAAAGACAAATCCTTCTGTGTCATTTCATGAAACCGAAATTAATAGTTAAATACACTGGCAATAAAATGCTAGTCATGAGGATTTTCTTTTCTTTAAAAATTCAAATAAATTATATTCACTAGGTAACTTTACTAGCGAACCTGGTATTACCAGCAGGTACCTTCAATGCAAAAATTAACTGGAAAGGCAATAATTTCATAAACTATATTCGTTTAGTTAACATACCATATGTTTTACAATAATATATTTTACCTTCAGTAATTAAAGAAAAATAAATGAACAACAGATGCATATACACAAATGTGGATTATGAAACTCGGATATCAAGAAATACGATTTCACACAATTGTATTTACATTTACTGCATTTGAAAATAATTTAAAAAGTTGCTATATATTCATGGAAGCCACGAAGAACTTATGACACTGAAAATCATGCCTGTCACTTTGTTTTTCATGTGGTCTCCCATATTTCCCTTTTCCTATTTCAAGTAATTTATATTTCAATTTTATGGCTATGGCTGATGCTTTTCCTTCAATAATTAATTTGTTAAGGTATTATCCAGAGAACTTGTAGTGTACATTCAGTCAGGCTATAGGCATGGAGGTGTGTTCTATATCTGGGCTTGTTAACAAGTTGTACTATTCTAGGTAGATCTAAAACCTAGAGGTGTCTTAATGCTTAAGTGAAATCTGGAGTCAGCAGATGCCCAGAGCATGTGTTTTGCACCCACTACTGACTTTTAAATGTGTTCATTTAACTTATCATCATACATGATTTGGTTTATTTCTCAATGTTCAGGTAGAAGAGTCTGTTTCTTGGGACAGAATTCCAAATATACAGGTGTAATGTCTTAGTATTCACTTCATGGTTTTATTCCAGAGGATAGTACAAATAAAATTCTGATACCATGGAAGTTGCCTCAGACATAGAAGAAACAATCGGGAATACTGTGAGGAATATGTAAGAGTGTCTTTATAAGTCTAAGAAAAGCAAAAAAAAACCAAAAAACTGAGCTAAGATGTGTATGTGACATCATTTCACAAAATCATTTATGCATACAGATAACATATTTACTAGCTATGCCATGTTTTTTATTCTCGTGTCTATTGACTGCAAACAAACAAACAAGAAAAAAAAAACAAAGAAACAAAAACACCACAAAGAACACAGCTGGAACAAACTTTATTTTTTAAACATTAAATCAAGCGCTGGTTTTCCAGGAAATTCTGGAGAAACTGTATTATCTTCAATCTGGATTTCAACTTCAGATTCTCTTTTAAGGTTAGCAATCTACTGGGGGTTTCAATGTAGACAGAAGTAGATGCATTTTTAAAGGTACAGTTCAACTAATTATGCTATTTTTGTTGCTGTTTTTGTTTTTTTATTGTTTTACTTTTATTCTGAATTCTATCAAGACATGACTCCTCAGCCAGCTGACAGTATTGCCTCAGGAACTGACAGCTCCCACCAGGAGACTGCTGTCATGGGAAGGCAAGGTGGGAGGATTCTTTTACTAACGGGATCTACAGTGAAAGGTATATAAGGCTTTGCTCACTTTTTCCTCAGTCTGGAATAATAAATAACCAGTTTATCATCAGCTTTGGAAAAGAAGTGATCTTTGAAGTTCTTTTTATGCCCCTGATTCTCGAATTCATAGAACGTTGGTAGCTTCAATACATTTAACGCACTTAATACATTTTAAAGAGTGTTTCAGAGACTTGTAGATGCCCCAGTGTGCATCAAAAAGAGTGTCAAGGAAGGTGATCCTCCTGTTCCCTGGTGAGGACTCACCTAGAGTATTGTGTCCAGCTCTGGGCTTTGCAGTACAAAAAAGACAGGGATCTCCTGGAAAGAGTCCAGAGGAGGTTCACAAAGATGGTAAAGGGCCTGGAGCACTTCTCTCATGAAGAAAGGCTGAGAGACTTGTAGTTAACAAAATACGCAAGTTAGAGATGTAGTCAACGAAATACGTAAAGTGGGGGCTCTCAAGGTTATCAGGCGTAACCAGGCGTAATCTGTGTCGGCCCCTTGCGTGGTTAGCGAATACGTGAAAGGGGGGCTGTGACAGTCATCAGCCTCTGCGGGGGCTCCTTGGCTCATAAGAAAACCATGATGAGACATGGCAAGACAAGACATGCCACACGTCCATTGGGCACAGATAACCGTAACACGGGTGATTGGTAGCACTGTGAAGTAAGGGACAACTATAAGAAGAGTGTGTTGCTTGCAATAAGGGCCATTTGCCGCACACCACATTGGTGTCATAAAAGCGTGTGATTTGGCCGGGGCTGTTTGAGCACTTCACGACGGGACATTAATCAGAGGCTGCCGAAGCAAAGGCAACAGCGACTTCAGTCAGTTCAGCCTTGAGAAAAGAAAACTCAGAGGGAATCTGATCACTGCCTATAAATTTCTAAGGTGCAAAAGGCAAAGGGACTAGGCTGAGTGTGGTGACAGGATGAGGGGAAATGGCCACAAACTGAAGCATAGGAAGATTTGCACAAATGTGCAGAAGAACTTCTTCAGTAAGGGTTACAGAGCACTGGAACAGGTTGGCCAGAGAGTTTGTGGAGTCTCCTCTGGAGACATTCAAGACCTGCCTGGACACCTGCCTGTGCAACATGGTTTAGGGAGCCGCTTTGGCAGGGTGGTTGGACTAGATAATCTCTGGAGATCCCTCCCAACTCCTACAGTTGTGTGATTCTAACATACAAAAGTCCCCAAAAGGTTTGGGAGGAACAGCACTTAATTTCTAAAAACTGTGTGGAATTTATCTGTGACTTTGGAGACGTATAGAGCCTGTTTGGTCTTGAGTTGTTTTACACTTTGTGATAAATGTTTCTTCCGCTGGGGAAGAAACTGGTAAAGAAAAGCCATTCCAAGGTTAGCTTGAAACAGCATGACTAATTCTGTTTTATTTTACTTTCTGAAAACGGCTGCTTTGAAATAAGTAGACCAAAGGTGGGAAAGGAATATTTGTTTCAGAAATATCATACAGAAATCCAACTGAATAATCAATATTGAGGTTTATCTTCAACAAGTTTTTGTTATTCCTCAGCTAACATTCATATTGTTTTTATGACATGTATGCAATGTGAATGAATGAAGTCGGAAAAGATGTAAGTTGCTCTGCCTATACATTTGTCAGTATACTGTTAGACATTCATATATTGCTGATGGATTAGGTATACTTCAGGATTTCTATTTTAAAGGAATGATAATCTGAACAAATGTGTTAATTCATTGAACAAGAATCCAGCAGATTTCAAAGAGGTGTAATCAGAGTAGATTTTATATAGTGACTTTTTAGAGTTATTATGTAACAAGACAGGGAAAGAAAATGACATTTCATGGAGTAAATTCACATAAGCTCCAAAAAATGAATAAGGTGACTTGGAGTGCCTGCCCGAAAAGGCTGCTGTTCAGGTCTCCAGCTAACCATGATGAAAAGACATGAGGTGTTCTATGAGCAACTGACAGAAGCTATGTGATCAGCAGACCTTGAAAACAAAGAAGTTGTTAGGATGTGCGGAGAGAAAACTAGAAAGGCAAAAGTCCAGCTTGAACTCAACTTGGCCTTTGGGGGAAAAAAAAAAAAAAAAAAAAAAAAAAAAAAACTGTTTTAGGCAGAACAACAACAAAAAACTTTTTACAAATATATTAACAGTAAGAGGAGGACCATAGAAAATCTTCATTTTTTACCGCATACAGCAGGAAATATGACTGCTAAGGAAAAGGGAAAGGCTGAGGTTGTCAGAGCCTGTCTTTAAAAGTCAGATCAATTATCCTCATTGTACTCTCTACCCCCTGTCCTGGAAGTCTGAGATGGAGAGCAGAATAAACCCCCTCAATTCAGATGGAAATATTTAGAGATCTGTTACACCACCTGAACACTTGCAAGTCCAGGGGGCTAGCGCCTCCAGCTGGCAGAGATGATAGTCAAGCCACTTTCTATCATTTATCAACATTCCTGATCAACTGGAGAGGTCCCAGAGGATATGACTCTGGGTAGCCTGGTCTAGTTGGTGACACTGCACATAGCAGGGGAGTTGAAACTAGATGATCATCGTGGTCCTTTTCAACCCAGCTCATTCTACAATTCTATGATTGTAGGCTTGCCAATGTGACTCCTACGTTCGAGAAGATTTGTAAGGAGGATCTGGAGAACTACAGGCTTGCCAACCTGACTTTCATGCAAGAAAAGGGTATTGTGTGATCTCTTGAAGGAGATCACACAACATGTGCAGGGCAGCCAGGGGGATCAGGCCCAGCCAGTATGGGTTCATAAAAGACATACCACAGGTCCTGCTTACCCAATCTAATTTCATTCTATGATTGAGTGACCCACCTGAATAATACAAAATTACAGCCGATAATATATCTTCCTCTAAAGAGATGATCTTTACTTTATGAAAAATGTTTTAAAACTGTGCTGATTTTTAATTGTAGGCAATATTACTTCAAGTTTGTATCTGTTGTAATATCTATCTCTGTCATTAGCATTTTGCATAGCCATTAACTTCTATCTATCCATATATGTAAATATTAATACTCTAGAATTTTATTTATTACCTAACTCTATTATAATTTACTGTACAATATTATATAGCTATTCTAGATCAGTATTAGTATTCAGTTCTCACTAATATCCTCAGTGTCTCCAAATTCAGGATATGTTATGATTTCCATGGCCTTGTCAGTAATTCTTCCTTATAGTTGGCGTGTAAATCTAGCCCTTTGAGCTGTATTCATGGAGGTAACTTGAACCACTCTTGATTCCATAAACTGAAATATTATTACTTCTCTGCTTCAATCTTTTAGCTGTTTCTGGTTATCTGCTAACAAATTAAATTTTGACTCTGACATTTGGATAGGGAAGGCCTTTAAAATTAACTTTTTAAAGATTTGAAATACAGCTCACAGAGCCCAGAACTACCATCTTCAGTTGTCCTCTGCTATTCTCCAGAATTTTGAAATCATTCACAGCATTCTACAAAATTATTTTCAACCATCTCAGCCAGTTAGAAGAATTATTTGCCTGCCTACTCTTATCCTTGTGTCAACGGTTTACGGGCTGGTTTGGCCCACTTCCATGACTAGCAGGGCAGAGGGATTTTGCAAAATCAGCACCTCCAGACAAAAAGGGAACAGGGGACCCCAAAATAATTAAAAATAGCAGCAACAATCGGAGGAGAAACAAATTTACTAAATACAGTATCAGAATGCAAGATAACACACCATAATACAATGTCCAAAAGGTGGATAGGCCTCACCAAATTGCTGAGGTGAGATGCGTAGTCCAGTTGAGCAGTAGAGAGACAGGAGGAGAGCCAACAAAGAGCGGATGAAAAAGAGCTCATCAGGTGATCTTGCCAGGAGCTATATCTCCTCTCTGTGACTGCAAACTCCCCTGGGCAATGTAGTACTTCTCTTCCGGGCAGGTACTCAGAACTTGAACAGTTAAACTCCCAGTGCACTACATGATGTTATGATGTGGAATACCGAAAACCAAAAATCACAAAACCATGACACCTTGTCAGGCATATTGTCACATTTCTCTACTAAGTTTTTCCTCAGAGAAATAGGTATATTTTTCTCTCTTATTCCTACTGGGATCCATACTGTCAGCCTGAATGACAAACTTTCTAGCATTCTTCATTCTAATTCCACTGGTCATTCACTGAACAATGAATGGTTGTATTACTGCAGAATTAATCCTTTTATCTAATATGGACAGAATATCTCTTGGGCACAAAATCATTTGTATAATGATGAAGTCAACTTTTTTGATAAACAAAAGTTTTAGACATCTCTATTGTTTTAAAAAATTCTATAGTCTAACATTAGATATATATTTATGCTGCATATGTACTTTGAAATAATATATTTTTCTGGCGTGTAACTGAAACTCTACAGTAACTTGACAGTTTGAAGAAAAGGTACAGCAGAAATCACAGTTGGTCTGGTTTCAGACAATCTCATAATTAATGGATTGAAGAATAGCATCTGCAAAAGCAGGTCTTCAAGAATTTTGCTTTCCCTTTCCCACCCTGCTCAGTCTGTCTCTGAATAAAACACCTTGGGAGACAGCTCCCCATCCCCTTTGCTTCATTTTTTATAGCCAAACATGATATTATACAGTGTAGAATATCCCTTTGGCCAATTCAAGTAAGCTGATCTAGTTCTTTCTACTAAGGGAGAAGTATGGAAAAAAAGAGAAATCTTTGAAGTTGTGCAAGAACCAGTGATAGCCAAACAAATTGTTTGTTATCAACACTTTTCTCCACAAAACCAAAACCACAATGCTGCAAAAGCTGCTATGAAGATAGTTAATTCCATCCAAGCCTTACACAGTGTATTTATAAATACTTCTTTTGAAAACAAGAAAACAAATGAGCTGTGGAATATTATCGTAGTGAAAGTATTATTTCCATTCCCATATTTTCAGTAATCTTATTCCTCTCACCTCTATATCTCTGATAAGAAATATTTTTATTTTCTTCTTGTAGTGTAGGACAAGTGACCTATGTTTTTT